ACCGGGAAATCATGCAATTGCTGTAATCGCTGTTCCATCGCAAATCGCAAATATTCGTCCGTTCATTGTTGTATTGTCCGGTACTCGTTGCTCGTTCCGAATTACAAATCATGCGCATAGACCGCATGAACGCATCAGACGCATCAACTGCCTCAGGTCGAAAGAGAAGCAGTCAATGCGCTGAGTGGAGTGCTAAGAATTCAGTACGGTTAGTACAATCTGGGGAATTCAAGTACTCTCGAAGCGCTTTCGAAGCGCGCAATAGTTAACTCGGAACGACTTTCTGTGCAGTCTACGCCCTTCATGCGCGACTCGGAACGCACCCATAGAATCTCGATTTAATAACTTACCAAGGCGTATAAGGTAGGCTCCCACTACAATACCTTACTGATGAGTCCAGTAGTGGAAGCCGGGACGAAACGCCAAACATTACGTGATATTCTTCGCAATATATAATATTAGAATAAATTATCAGATTTAGATTTTAAATTGTAATTTGACTCTTATTCGCCCTATTTAACGTGTTAATTATTATTATATAAAAGAGTAAGTATATTTACATCGATATTCTCTAAAATATATTATTAAATAAATAACACCTTCATTATAAGATCATTGCTTGTTTGTATTTACATGTTAATGTTAAACTTAGACTTTTCGTGTACATTAAAAAATGTTGCATTGTTATTCATAAAGATTGATAAAATTAATATCAGTAACAGTTAATACTCACGTTTTTGCTATTGCGTTTAAAAAATTTGACGGTAGTGTCACGACACGAATCCAGTGCAGCAATCTCCTATTCAATGTAACAGTAATAATATTATATAATGACCGCAAAAAATCTTTCCCCCGTTTTTGTAGGCCCCTAATTTTTGGACTGAACTGTGTGCCATATGATATCCTACAAGGATATTATAAAGAAGCTTCAGGTTGTGGTAACAATTGTTATCATAGTTCTTCAACTATAATTGTCATCTCATTTTTTAACATTTTTCTCTATGATTTATGCCTGAACATAAGGTAAAAATTGATGACTCAGTTCCAAAATTGAGGGCCCAAAAAAACAAGCGATTTTTGCCATCATTGTTTTTAAGAAACTATATAATTTATTTAATTAAAAAACATTTACGAACAAACGTATTGGAATACCTTTTATTAATAACTCGATGTTTTTAAACCAATCTTCAGCAATAACTCGGCAAGCAGTTGATGACCGTACGTATTTGATGTGGAACTCGTCTATATTGATAAAAGCGCGCTTTTACTTCTGTAGTATGTGCAACGTAAACTATAGCATATTAGAGCGCTACATCGTTACCAGGGCTGCGTTCGAAAACATCACCCGAGTACCCCCGTGTATCGTCTTATCCTTGTTGTTCACCCATGTTAAACCATAGACATATGAAAACATAGACCGAGCGTAAGCCTGCGGGGTAAGGGGAAACAGCGGACGAATTCGGCTATTTCCGTAGATCGGCTCGGGTATGTTCGAGGTTACGGAAAAGAGTATATGAATCTCAGCGATTTTGAATTCAACAAGAATGTTGTTATGTTCATTATGTGCCGAATGTTTCCGAATCTAACCGAAGTTATCCGACTTCGTCCGATATTTCCCCTGTCGGTTATCACATCCCCCTTGTCTATAGTAGCAGCCATAGAGATAGTAGTACTAGAGTACGCATTGTCGGAAATTTGAGGAGTAGAATTACCCATTCTATCTAGAAAAGGACGCACTCATTTGGAACCGTTTCGTTCTCTCTCGTTTCGCGCATGCGTATAGCCGT